CAAATCTCCTAACAAAACATAATACAGAACAAATCTACTATTATAACGGGCAAATAGGCCGACTTATCACCTGATGGTAAGCAATTACCACCGTCCATGGATACCCGCAACATGTAGGTATTAAGTTAGTGAGAGACCATGTGATGTTCCGATGTTTTACTACTAGAATTAATCTAGATTTCTGAACATGTTATTTTACCCAAATAACACCGTTAACTCCTAGAACCTTCGCTTCCTTTAACAAAGGTCTTCAATAACCGTACATTTCAATATGAACTTCTATACACGTTATGTTTGCGAATAATTCAAAGGGTTTGCGGAGTGGTACCTAAATCATATCGCAAGTCCGTGAGGGGAATACTATTATAGCTATCAGAATATATCTCGTATATGTAAAGCTAATTACTATGCATGGACTGCGGGACTTTGGGTATTTAGTTATATGGAGATAACATAAGCCGTGTGGTGAGACCGGAGTAGAATATACTTTTTGCCGGCTCTTTCTAAAGATATATATTTTATTAATTCAATATGCTTCATGTACAAAATGAACAAATAGGCGGACTTAATGCCGAAGGCATTTGAGGCAAGCAATGATTTTATTTAACAAATGCAAGATAAACTAGTATAGATATAGGGCTCGTACTGCGATGCGACGTCACATCGCAAAAATCTGCGAGCTCCCGCTACGCATCGAAAGAACTTGCAAATTGATTCGCATCGCACATCAAAATCTTATTTTCCCAAAACCGTATTTGTGTCTTTTTCCTGTATCTCCTAAGCAATAACAGAACTGCACACTTCTTTTTACGACCCATGTCACAACCTAGATTACAATTTAAAATACGTTTAGTACGGTTGATGGTCGGCGAAGAACGATAGTCACCCTGGGAGACGCCTTGTCGCACGGAATCGCATCGCAGCAATTTGCATCGTATTTTTTTGCGATGCGAATTCGCATCGCATCGCTGTTTTGTGTAAGAGTCCATAAAAAGGGTCAACTAACGGTGGAAATTAATACCCAATATTGGTCTACAGTCTATGAAATAAAATCGATAAGTTAGTCAGTGTAAAAAGGTAACAATAACAGTCTCCCTATTTTACGAACCGTAGTCAATGCAATAGAACACAGAAACAAACTAACACAACGTTCAACAATCGAAAATCCATAATCAAACCCAATACATACATTGCCCGAACCGGAAATTGCACTCCGGAACACGACTACCCTCGAAATAGTGAACTATGTCAACTATGTATAGAACATTATACACATACACATGTAACTTCATATACGTATGTGTTAACTGCTCTCAAAGGGTTATTGAATCACAAACTTATACAGCACAACATTAAAGTTTACGGTTTGCGGTACAATGCTGGTTTGCTTTCAGGAACACACGTAAGTACCGAGCCATGTAATGTAATGGATTGAAATACGTACTAGGTACAAAACGCGAAGTGTGTGAGAAACAATATACATTAGAATGTGAAATGGGTAACAAAATACACCTTTTAATCTACGAAGGGGTTTTTTTTAAAGGGGGGAATATCATCGAATGACTGCTCCCGCCTGGGTGAGGCGGGAGAGAGTGTCAGACTCTTACTGACTAAAAACCACCCGTTCCTTCTCCTGCACGTCGAGCCGTACCCCGTTAGGTTCTCCGCGACAATCTACGAAGGGATAGAGGTTTACCTCTGTACACTGTCCATTATACAATGCAATATCCCGGTGTTCAACACGTCACACATTACATCAACAGCCTATAAGTGGCCACTGCTGACAAAAGACCTAAGAAGGTTTGAGCATTAAGCACCACGCTTGCTCAATGTGCGTAGGCGATTTCAACATTTCAAACTTATAATCAAAAATTATATGTAAACGTGACAAAAACCTTACAGTTTGGCCATATTTTTTTGCTACGAATGTGAGTTAGCGTATTTGTTACGCTTTTACGACTAGGTGAATCAATTCCGATGAAATATCGTAGTGATAGACGAATTAGGGGACAGTACACTCCTCCTTTACTATGAAAATCAACTGATTAACGTTCTGGTAGAGATATTCAAACATTTCAGAGAATTTTAACCTGAATTATTTATATGAAAAAGGAGAACTGTAACTTACCACCTATTAAACGTTTTTACACAATAAAATCCAAACTTTCCAAACCTATACGGGTCTATTAACACAGAAGCAAGCTCTACACATCCAGTTCAAACGCACACTATCATACGAAACGACCGTGAACCGACACACGCAGTACATTGACCGATGCTTTCAGTAGTAACCACTGTATATTGACCTAGAACCAGCAATGGACTATCTATCTTATCAATTATCCCGTAACCTACTTCGTGTTATGATAACGGCTGGATTTAGTTACGTTAATACTCATTTTTATTGTCTTTCTATGATTGGATGTTGTTTTCCAATAAGATTGGAATGGTAAATACATTTATTAGGCATGTATAGTAAAAGTTTGAGAAATTATCATATTTATTGATGTTTACGGAAGACGACAAAATAACTTCAAAGAGTAAAGTAGGTAGTTAAGTACGTGAATTGGGTTTACGGGGGCAATGATCTCATTCTATTTTCCTATTAAAGGATAAAGGCATCAAATACATTTGTTAGCTTTTTTCCCGGTTTGTTACTAGTCCTCTTTGTAAGCCGCGTTACTGTCATACAAAGAACACGCGTCGTGAATTTATCTAAATACAAAATAGAAATGTCATTTTCCGCGATAAGAACCAAAGTCTGTACCTCAAACTATAGAGTAAGCAACTTAGACGTGAAAGCTCAAAAATTAACAACATGTCTTTAGTTCAAATTCAAAATTGTCTACTTTTGTTAGATTTTGAATTTGAACTAAAGACATTGAATAGATATTTCTTAATAATGCGTGGAGTCGTATTTGGTTCGTTACAAACAATTAGTCCCCTGTAACATGGGACTCACCAAATAACCGGTGTCATTAAGAAATTACCTGAAAATGTGCACATCTCCCTAAAATTTCGATTATTCAAAGGCGTGATGTAATAGGGTAGTTTTCTAAATTTTTATTTTAATGTCCGTCTTGTAGATTATTTTAAAACATTAGACACGTATTTTTCTTTTACAAACTCTTACTTACTTACTTACTCGCACAAAATTAACGACACGTTAATTTCGTTTTCGTTAACACACGAGACGCTTTCGACGATATATTGATTTGAAATGTCGTGTGACGTCACAGCGTGCTACAAAATGTAGCACCGTAGCACGTTGTGACGTAACTACCTCCCACTCCTAAACTTAACTCCATTTTATCTAAGTATTGCAACGTAATAATACGAGAAAATAAAAAAATACGTGTCTAATATTTTTTCATTATCTAACTGACTAATTAGATTTTTAATTTTGATACCCTGGAAACTATCCAATTAGGTATTACCCTGAAATTATGCACATCTCCCTACAATTTCGATTATTCAAAGGGGTGACGTAATTATGGATGTTTGCCTTGACTTCTGAATAGCATAAAGTATCGCCATATCAATAAAACAGTGAATATAAAAGAAAAGACTCGTCACTAAAGCCGCATTAGTATGCATGCAACGCATACAATATGCATTGCTGTAATTGGGTCGGGGGTCGACGACATCACCTGAAGTCGGTACATGAACTTTGTTACTGTAACGTGTAACTGAAGGGTTGTCAGATGGGCTAGTTTTTGTTTTGTCAGGGAGTAAGTAGGGGGAGGTATTTTCTCTATCGTCAGTTTGATTATGAGTCCTATGTAAAAGTGTATATTGCTGAAAAATACTCAATAATATTTGGTCGATTCCAGTATAGATATCGAAACTTCTAGCTCGGCAGTAGCAGTGACAACCATTCAACAAATGAGAGTAATTATTGGGAATTATTTATGAATAATATTCTGAAATTATCTTATGATATTGATAACTTCGATAAAAATGAATGATAAGATGATATCTTATGATAACTTCAGAATATTATTCATAAATTATTCTTATGAATATGAAGGACATAGAAACAGTATCGCCGTCGTGTTCACAAAGGCTTCTAGCTCATTGTCGATTGACCTATTTTGTTTATTTAAAACTAGCTACTTCCGCGCGGTTTCACACGCTCTGCTAAGCTCCTATTAGTCGTAGCGTGATATTTTATAGCCTATATCCATCCTTGATAAATGCACTATCCAACACAAAAAGAATTATTCAAATCAGACTTGTAGTTACGGAGATTAGCGCGTTCAAACAAACAAACAAACTCTTCCGCTTTATATAATAGTATAAGATCATACGAATACTTGACTAAAGTCATTACGACAGTTGAATAAGGATTTTAAGAATGTACAGAATTTAATAAAATTCGCTGCTAAATTAAACCACGTTTATTTCAATAAACCCATCAATAAGTATAGTAAATTCAGCTTTGCATATTGGGGGCGACATGTTCAATGTACCTCACATGGTGAGCGCGGTAAAAATAATATTACTTTTCACTTTTAGTCATATTCTCTATAATATTATGATATGCAACGTTGTGTTAGTCTCCTAATCCAGTCCTTAATTCAGAATTGGATTATTATAGAAGACACTCATTTCGTAAAAATACTAAGTATATGTTCAGAAGTAATATAGGCGTAGGTAAAGTAAACCCTTGTTCATAGAGGTAAAGTAGATCCTTCTGCGGTCCTTTTGCCAAGTACTTAATTAACTTCAATAAAATGGACGTGGTTAATAAGCATCTACATATGTATGTATAATAAGAAACATCATCAAAATATCACAGGAACAAAGATTTAGCTGAAAAATAGAACCTTAATAATTTGATCAAATTAAAAACCGATTTCAATATAAATCTTTAGAATCGATCTCAGTTCAAATGATAGATTAATTATTACTTGGAGCCGTTATCATCATCTGTGACGTCATTGCATAAAACTGACATCTGTATAAAAGAATTGTTATAAGGATGATATTCCACTAACCTTGGTCCCGGCAGTACAGTGTCGGCGGGCGCGTCATCAGCGTCATAGAAGTCATCCTCGCCCTCCGACGACGAGTAAGACGTGTCTGGCACCAGCAGGGACATCGCTTCGCATGGAAATATTTCATATAATATTAATATATTGAATTGATTAGCCAAATATTATTACATAACATCACACCTTTTATTACCATTATGCCACTGTTT